AATAAACCAAATACTGTACTGCTATTTATGTAATACCTATGTGCTAAACACATAACAATATTAAAGTCAAAATAAGGTGAAAAGAAATCTAAAATATTACAATATGCTGATTACAATATACAGTACTATGATGATCGTTTTTTTATAGACTGACAGTAAGCAGATACATCAATCCTAAGACAAGGATTTACACTTAGTCTACTCTATATAATAATCACAACACAGATGACACAGAATATATCTACTGGTGCTCGTAAGATAAACCAGCCTCCAGTAAATTAAAAATCTTTACATCAGATACAGCAACAATGTAGAGTCACGTAATTATGTATTTTTCCTTATCCTAGATTTTGCCAGATGTTCAGTCAATACTACATGACTGAAACTCACATATTTTTGTAAGATATAAAACTACATACCTTAGATTTTTGTCTTTGAGTTATAGTAACAAGATTACGATATGTCACAGAAATTTATTCTGAGCACTTTGATGTCCTGATTTATAAAAACTAACTTTGATTCATATGGCGATTTATGATTCAGAAAGTCAATGAGAAAAATAACTTCTGCATTCTGTAGTGCCATTGAAAAATAAGTTTGATTGGAACTTGTGAAATCATGGGATATCCACTGCATGACCGTATAAAGTTGCATACTCTTCTTTATCCTATTAACAACTTGAAAGTGGTTACAAGCATTGTAACAAAGTAATCAACTAACCTGTCTACCCTGCAACCATACATATTTCAAATCATCATATACTTTGCCATCCTTTCCCAGGCATGTAAAGAAACCCCTAAAAGAAAAATTATACATTTACACAATATTATTGTTTAATGGGTGCAGTAAACTTTACAATAGGAACCAATAGTAAAACCATGACCATCATGCATTCACTAAAATATACCTACTATTTTATCAAAGAAGCGACCTCACGATCAAATAGCGCCACTGTCCTACAAGAACATTGTGGTAGCCAAGTCAAGTGATGTACACTCATGAGACAAAATTCAGTTAACCACAAAAAATAGAACATGCCAACCTAAATTAATCATTGACAAACAAAATGTTCCGTGAACCTAAATGATAAACATAATTTAGATTTTTGCTCCCATAGATAATGTTGTTCCCAGATCTTTGAAGCATGGCAGTTTTACAATTTGCCACAGAAATGCCATGCTTGAAGTTTCAAGAAAACAACAGAGATTATGTCTTTAAATATTAGATGTCAATTTATTACCCCTGTGTTATAAAACAGTAACTCATTTTTAGGACTAAAAGGTATCTATTTTACCTTAAAGGATAATTTGTTATGTTAAAACGGGAGGGTCATCACATGCGCACGCACGAGAATTGAGTCCCAAGCGGCGATAACACACGCTAAAAATGCAAAGGCTCATGGGTAGACACTCGTTTGTAAACAGTGACATGCTATCAGCATCTGGGGCATGTGCAGGTGACGACTCCCCCGCTTTAATTTTATAAATCAGTGTATCTATCATCTATTTGTGAATAACACATGAATGGAAATTATGTCAATGTGTTACTCGTATTACTGTATTCTGGAAGGTGAAATAGATGAGCACTATCTAATAAATAAAATAAATAAATATAATAAATCACCCATATTCATCATCATGGGAATATTTCAACCAGAACTGCATAGTTTTATCCAACTCTTTTTGTATTTTTTCTAAATATTCACTAAGTCTTGATTTAATGTCTGCCATTCTGAATTATAGTCTGAAATAAAAGAAGGAGGACAAGAGTTAAGTTTCATAATGTTACACTGATTTATTATGATTTTAATAGTCAATGTTTTGTGTACATGTACACTGGGTATGTACATACAATATTCATGAGTTGTAATGTAAATTATATCACTAACAATACCAGTGAATTTCATGACATCACTGCGAGGGATTACCAGTAGTTGCAATAATGGATTCTATTATCAAGAAAATACATAGGAATACAAGGCTGTATTCGTTAATGAATAAAGAATGGAACTTGTGGGGCAACAAGTACATGTATATGATAAAGAAAAAAAAGGATATTTAATATTTAAAACTTTATGTATGTTTACAAATTCCAGTATATGTGCACTTGTCGATATGATACAAGTACAGGCCCCCTGCACACAGTCAATCAATCCACACATCTGGAAAGTGCTAACTATCAGAGAACCATATTGCCAGGCCACAGTCAGTATATTACTGTTCACTACAAATGTCAAACTCCTTGCCACAAATACATTGTATCAGTCTCTTGTTCAATCATTAATGATGTAAATGATTATATACATTCAATAATGTATCAAAACTCATATCTTTCACATTTCATTTGGCTATATAACAATGTGAACATGTTTCAAGAAAGAATAGCATTTTAAATTATGCCCATTCCTGGGTCAGTGACATAAGAACTATTTCTGACCAACAAATTCACTTGTGTCAAAAACACAACAAAATAATAACAATACTAACCACAATGCACTAAAGCACACATTGTGCTTCACATGCATGTCTGAGGTGCAAGTGTAATTTTACCCATTATGTGTGTGTGTGTATGAGGGGGCAGCAATGGCAGTAAAAAGGGTGGTGTTCGTCGCACTGCGTCAAGTTTGATATAATACACACAGATTGTTATTCAAAACTAATTAGGTATGTGAATTGTAGAGTAGAGCATTGTCCTAATTAAACAATATCAGTAATTTATGAAACCCAAATAAAAGTTTTACAATTTTTCAATATCAGCTACAGGAAGCCTAGGAACTATAATACCTGGTATATGAAGAACTGTTTGTGCAGCCTCCAGGCTGTATCATAGTGTATGTTTGCCTGTCAACTTTTGACTTGGTATTGGCTGATATCCAGTGTATAAAAATACACAAGGGATGAAGGCTCTATAGCATACAGTTATTAATTATAGTTCCTGGGCTTCTTGTCCATCAACACAAGTAAAATATTATACTCACCATGCTTAGAGTACAGTACATGTGTTTCTCTCAACTACTTACTACGCATGCAAAGTATATGTAAATGCTATTGTTAGCTTAGTTAAAGGGGTGTAGCCTTCACCAGTAGCAGCCTGTGGTAAAACAGACCTTGGCTACATTATAAAGTTAATGATTTATTAATTTGCATATTACATGTAATAAAAAAAATTCTGTTTGTACCCAAAATAAGTTATATTAACTCCTACTAAAGGTTGTGTTTTGAATCAACTTATTAAAAGGAACCACCTAATCATAAGATGGACCCTGTTCTGTTTATTTTATAATTATTTTTTTTGTAACAGTTACCAATGATTTTTACAAGGTCAAAAGTTCAAGGAGGAACTGAAACTAAGATATTCAATACAAACAATGATGTTTCACTATTTATAATTAATTAACTATTTATGAAACTTGCATATTAAAACATTATTGTATTGTTAACCACTGCATTACCATGATTAGATGATAAAAGTCTACATGCATGTACCTTGAAATTGATATCTGCAATATAAATAATTCTTACTATAGCAAGACTTACAAGGAAATAATCCCTATTGTTTAGAAGCACATATGGGCCTTTAATTAAGCTCCATCCCCAAGGACAGACAGAGAGACAAAGCATTTGAATTTTGCTAATTTTTTTTTGGAGTGACATTCCTATGGCCTTGCGCTTACTAGATGGTTATATGTGGTCAGAGCACTAAATCACGGGGAAAAAGAACATCAAACTAGCGGTTTTTGTCAAGGTTTTGATTTTGGTAATAGTTCAATATTAGTAAATACATTATTGATCGACTTTAGCTTAGATGGTACAATGTATGTTGCAAGAAAATATTTTGCTTTTATCGACTTGTATTTGTGTTGCCATTTGACTAAAATACATGTACCATCACAAAGACTAAGGATCTGCGCAAAAAGAGCTATGGACATACAGCAAATAAAATGGCCACTTAATCCTCTAGATTACAACCATCATTTTTTTCGAAAATTAGTTTGATTAACCCCCAACTGTTTTTAAGTCAATGTCCTATATATTGCCCTGGAATAAAATTTATTGCAAAAAGACTAAATTCTGGGTATTTTTTATTTATGAGTATTCAGAACAGGCTTCTATCACATTCATGACACAGCTAGTCAATGTATTGTGTATATTATAAACAAGATACGGCAAAATTTCTGGCCATATACTGCTAACATAATAATCAACCCACATTTCATTTATAATTATACATATACAGTTTAGTCTTACCTCCAAAATATTATTCCAATGTTGTTCAGCCTCAGTTGTCAGTTAAGTCTGCTATAGAACCACGGGCGCACTTTGCCCATGTCGTATGTTTTACTTCAAAATGTTACAAATATTCACTCTTCCTGTCGTTGTTAATGTTCTAGTCACACGATCTGACGAAAACATCAAAACAGTCATGATCGGGACAAAGGCCGGAAGTTCTAGCGCCATCCAGCTGTTAGCTGTTTTGTTTACTTGTTTTTATTACCTTTGACCTGAATTGACCTCACATCGTGAACTTTATA